ATCTAATGGGAAAAACGCCACGAACTTTTTCCCATACCTAATATTTTATTCCTCTCGATGAAACTCACAACGCACTAAAATCGTTTATCCAAGCAATTAAGTGCTGAGAATGAGGCACTCTTACGTCACAAATTTACATGGGATGCACAGTGTCTGCTTCATTTCACCCTATTATCAATGAATTCTCATACTTTTCCAAAAGCTACTCGTATGTAGTGCATAAAATATGTCAAAGCGATTATTTTATCTCTTTGTCATTATATTGAAATCGAACTCTGTATTAATCAGTATATCTTTTGATGTACTAAGTATGTAAGCAATAATGTTGCTTATAAAAAAATTGAACGATAAAATTATAAGTTTAAAGTTGATTTAGAAAATTCAGGACATTTAGAAAATGTGATAAATATTGAGGAGAAGCTACTTCTACATTTTGTGTGCTTGTGAAATTTAAAAAATCGACAGATTTTTCGGTTTCATTTTATTTAATCAGACAAATCTTCGTCTTCCCCTGATACAATTCAAATCAATGATACAACAGTTTTGAAAATAATATTGAATTTTTGTAAGACTAGCTTTGTGCTATTTTTCATGCTTTGAGCAGAGCTGTCAGATTCCGGCTTGGAGTTCAATTAAGAAATGCAAACATAGCTCTTTATATTAAGCGTTCCTTGCCTTTAATTATTTATTTAGCAATTGTTCTAACAGTTTAGAGTAGTGTTCGACACATAGCAATAGCGGAAAAGCTCTTTCGCTTTATTCAAATCAAAATATTCTGATAATCCACTCTAAACTGAGAAACTTAGAACAACTGCTAATCAATTAAAGGCAAGGAACGCTTAATACAAAGAGCTATGTTTGCATCTCTTAATTGAACTCCAAGCCAGAATTTGGCAGCTCTGCTCCAAGCATGAAAAATAACATAAAGCTAGTGTTACAAGAATATATTATTTTTAAAAACTAACTTATTATATCATCGATTTGAGTTGTACTAGGGGAAGATGAAGATTTGTCTGATTAGATAAGATGAAACTGATTTAATAACCTGCCGATTTTTTAATTTTCACAAGCATACAGAATGTAAGAAATAGCTTCTTCCTAATAAATATTATACACGTAGAGCGGATTAAACTGAATCGAAAAGTCCTCTACCATTTGCAATTTTCGCAGTTAACAAGATATTAATTATTAAAAATTGCTGAAAATTGGTCTTTACTCAAATACTATTAACTTTATAAAAAAAAAACTGCAAAAATTCTTTATTATCTTCTCATAGAACTTTGAAAATTTCTTTATTACCGTATTTTTTTAGTATTTTCTCATGGTTGGTAAAAATAAGAAAGTGCAGTACTAAAAAATTAATAAAAATTTTTTTAAAAATTCTTAGAACTCTAGATGAAGAAAATAAACAATTTTTGCAGTTTTTTTGTAAAGTTGATAGTTGCTCTACCATGAAATATTTGGCGATTATTTTAGGATCCCTTGTATATACGAGTAGTTTTTGAGAAAGTATTATGGTGATGGGGGCTCATTGATAATAGAGTAAAATGAAGCAGATAATTGTAACTGTGCTTGATATCCCATGTAAATCTGTGATGTAAGAGTGTCTCATTCTTATAATTAGTACCTGATTGCTCGGATAATAAACGATTTTAATAATTATGAGTTCCATCGAGAGAAATAAAATAGCACAATTTGAAGTGATTCTGATGTCCAAGAAATCCAAGAAACGGCTTTATTGACACCCTTCCTTTATATTTCATAAATAAGAAATCAATTTAATAATTAAATCGAATATTAAAAATATGTAACAAGTGTTTGTGAAAAAAATACGTGTTCTATAAATATTATTGACATGTTTACGGTATTCCATTTTTCTATCGAATATCTTCTATCGAATATATTAATGGAATGTATTGATGGAATGTTTTAGAGAGTAAATAAGTAGATAGAATGTTTCGAGAGAGTCCCGATGATCCCTAGAGATTCGATAAGCGAACTGGGTTGATGTTTAGTATTCTGGTGGCGGAAGCGATACAGAGCAACGTGTAAGTTGATATAAGCATCACGCTAATAGAGTTAGTCGAATGGACAAATGAATAATAAGATCGTAGAATAGTTGATAGTGAATATATTATGTATGCTTGTAAAGTCTACATTTTCGTAGTTTCTATTATCTTGAAATTTATAATATGCAAAGTAAAATAAAAATCGATATTAAGCATGCAGGATATTTATAAGTCCTTTAAAGTGCATTATGCCAGGAAATCTTCTAAGATGTGTCATATAATACATGAGAGCGTTGAAAATATATAAAATAACTGAATTTATTCATATATTATTCTATCTTGGACATAAATCAAAGTAAAATGTACAATTTATGTTTCCGTGATTATAATTCAATAATTATAATTTAATAATTGTTTAATAAATTACGCGTTTCACTAGGCAAATGTACACTAATTTTAATGGATTGAATGCACAGTATTATTTATTGAAAATTGATGAAAGCAAACTTAGATAAAATTTCGAAAACGATTATTCCTGATTTAATGTCAGCAAAGTCATGACTTCCATGCGGAATTCCTCGTGACACTACATCACCATTTCTTAATATATATATATATATATATATACGTACGTGTGTGTGTGTGTGTGTGTGTGTGTGTGTGTGTGTGTGTGTGTGTGTGTGGGGTGTGTGTGTGTGTGTGTGTGTTT